AATGGTGGATAATGTAGAATAACGGAATAACATCGTAATTTTATCACAATTTTGTTTTGTGTTTTGTACGAAATGACCAAATGAATCGATTTACAGTCGACCCCATTTAGACAAATTTCTTCATTAAACACAGAGTACGAATAGTTATGAGAGTGAGTGTATGTAAAGAAAATTAAGTAGTTGCATTTCTTTAAGGAAATGCAACTGCAGTTCGCAAGTGCATCAATGAAGAAAAAGTCCTATTAGTGATGATTCTAACATCGTAACTATTTTCAGAAGCCAAAAATAATTCAGATTATAGAGAATTAAGCCTCGAAAGGACTTACCAATTAACATTCTACTTTATTTCCACCATTTTTATACCAGAAATATTCCCAGCATCGTCACGAATGATCACCCTAAATTGAAAAGTGAACCGCACTCGACGCGACAGATCCTAATGCAACAACGCCACGGGGAATTAATAACAACACTGGATGCTTCTAACAGCCCTAAAATGAAATTTCTCGACCACCCGGACGTTTAAAGCCGAATAAAACCGTAATTAAAAGTCGCCCCCGTCGGTTCTTATTGGCATCAAATGAAATTGCGTGCCCTTGGTCGCGAAGAGGATCGCGATTAAATGTTCGTGGCTCCCCTAATCTCTCGCCAAGGCAATAAAAATTCGACATAACTCGAGTTAACGCGGTTAACTCGTCCAAGCTGAACCGTGGACCGAAGAGAGACGGGTTGATTAATCGTATGCAAATGTCCGTGACGACACCTCCAAGGAGTTTAATACTTTGTCAGAAAACGTGTCGCGGGCTCTATAAAGGTCGCATGATCGCTTTAGAAAGGGGATTTCATCACACTTTCAACCGTATCCGAAGTCGTTCTTCCGCGTTATGCAGAGAGAATCGATGGTTCGAGACGTCGAGTTCAAGTCGACGTTACAAAACGTTCTCGATGGTATCTCAATCTGTTCTTCAACGTTTCGCCGTGAAATATGGTGTATAAGAGGGGACAGTGAAGTATTGACAAATGTTTCGACGCGGCGATAAATATACCTTTACTGGGAGTTGAAGATAAATTATGCAAATGTCTATTCGCGATACATGGCGGTTCAAACGCTGTCTAACTCATAGCTGACTCGCGAAGGATCTGACCTTGTACAACCAAAATTATGGTTGACTTCTGAAGAAAATCTACGATTGGGATCATTGGCGAACGGTAATTGATATTGTTATTTTTTTGTTACGATCTATCATGAATGTTCTAGAATTTATGCATTTATAACGTATATTAACATGAAGAACATACAGTATACATAATATGAGGCGTTCACTGCACAAATCGATTAACTCCACCAGTCACAAAAATTGTAACATTACTGACGATTATTTTTTGGCTATTCTTTCTTATTAATTTTATATACCGTTAGATTAAAGCTAGATCTGCATTTATATATTCTAAAATATTTATTTGAATTTGTATTATAAAAGGAATTTTACAACATTCCTCAACATTTTGTTTTATGGCATTAATCGATTTACTTTATTAATCATTATAATAATATTAATATTTCGTTTTGAACAGAGTACATACAATTTTTGATCATACTCATCATGTATTATTATAATAGTTTATATCATAAATGCATAATAACCGCAGTTGACGCATCGCCGGCAAAATATAACAGAGTCTAACAGAACCACCTACTATTTCCTCAATTTCTACCGTTTAATATCCCTCCACGCACGATACATTTATCCGTATCTATCGAAATGATTAAATTGCTCCGTCGTTAGCTGGTTATCCCCGAAATATCGAACGACACTCGAGTACGATTTCGCTCGACCGCAATTGGCTCTAAATGCCGTGAAATGAACGAGCAGGCACGGACAAAGGGTTAAGTCGTTAGAATTACGGACGTCGCGGGCGCGACGCGACGCGGAGCGTCGTTAATTTCGGAATAATCGTCGCGTATCGACGCGCGAGCCCAGAGCGAAAGCTCGCGCGCTCCAATTTAATATGGAAATCCCGCTACGCCCTATCGAGAAAATCAATTACGTCTAATGAATACAACATGAAGGGTTAAAGGGTTCGGCGGGAATCTCCGCGCACTTTTCCCTTCGACGATCGGGAGCGAGGGCGAAATTTCGAAGTCGTTGAACGCGATTTGTCAAAGACTTAAACGCGCGCGACAGATTTCATCGCGGACGATTTTAGTAAACCTGTCCACGAAGTCGGACATTAGGCTCGGAAAACTGGTGTCGAAGGAGAAGCTTTTTGGTGGTGAATTATTCAAATTTTAGAGATGGTTTGGAACGTGGAGTTCGAAGTTCAAGACTAGAATTATCAAACTGGATAATTGAATAATTATTAACAACGTTTTGGTTACAATTTTTAGATTGGGAACTAATTATGTTAAATTTGTATGAACTTCACATCGCAAGAGGTAATATCAAAGATATCGTGTTATTTGTAATAGTTATTACCCCTTTGAGTGCTAGAGGAAATTTTCTAACATATGCGAGAAATGCCAGTAAACAAAAATGTATACTTCAGCCGTATTTGAAAGAAAATTGAAGTGCACAAATAGATCTACGTACATTAGATTTTTGACGTTATTTTTGTACAGCAAAATTGATTTTTTAATAAGTTATAGCACTTATAGTTTCGAGCAGCAATATATCGCTCTTCACCCTTTTTGCAAGTATATGGAGGAACAATATATCACTCCTTGTCACTCAAAGGGTTAAAGTCTTCAAGTCTATAAATTTTGAAGCTTAGGTTCCTCCCCTTAATCATTAAAAAACCTTAGTTGGGTAACCGAAGCGAAGGACATTTCAGATTTAACAAATACGTTTTGTTCGTGCGTGAAGACCGTAATATAATTACATCGTCGATCGAGACAAGAGGGAACCGACGCGATATTTTAACCAGAAGCTAACGAGCAGGCTTGATTCCTGGTACGCTCGTAGACTGCAAGTAGACGGCAGTTAAGGCAGTTCGCACGTTACGACTTATTCTATTACGGGCGCGTCTAATGAATACAACATGAAGGGTTTAAAGGGTTCAACAAAAATCACCGCGCGCTTCCGCCCCATCAAAAACCAGAATAACCGAATCCACGGTCGAGTGGGTCGAAGGAATATGATTCGGAGTCAAAATGCAAACAGTAGGGGATTGTGCATTAAGAAACGTCGAGCAACGTCAATTAAACGTTACAGAGGGACGATGCTCATCGCGGATTCGCGATGGATAAAACCGAGGGAACCGTTTGTGAATAAACATTTCGCTTCGAATGTTGCCGAGGCAACTATTCGACCACGTATTGATGATGTTGTAACCCTGTGAAATTACTCTAGACTTTCACGCAGTGAATATTGTCGGAGGCTTTCGAGAGTAAACTATGTCCATTTGGTTGTTTGTTTAGGGCGCTAGCATTGTACCTAGGTTCAACAAGGATTTGAGAACACATTAATACACCATTCGTTTGCCATAGTGATGTACTTTGCATTCGGGTGCACCGGACAATATTAACCCTTTGACTCGAGAAGTGGGTTCAGAGAAATGTTCGTATTCGTTAAATCAATCTTTAAAAAGTATCAGCTTATAGAGAATGATGAAACGAAACTTCTTTTATATTTACAGTTTATTCATAGGAATCTTAGTTTTGAAAATAAAAATTGAAAAGTTAGAAAAGTTCGTTGGAAAAATTGAACTTCAGGAAAAAGGTATTTTAAGTTTTTAATGTTTATCTCTGAAATTAAAAATCGTATGAATAAACTGTAAACATAAAAAAGTTTCGTTTTGTTATTCTCTATAAGGTGATTTTTTTTATAGTCGATCACTACGAGATCTCAGGAGAAAGGTCTTTTAAGTTTTTAATTTTAATATTTGAAACTAAACGTCGTATGATTAAACTAAAAACATGAAAAAATTCCGTCTTATCGAACCCTATAAGCTGATATTTTTAAAAAATTTACACCTGTACGCTTCTTAGAATTTCCAGCAAAAATCGTCCCGCGGTCAAAGGGTTAACTCAAAGAATTTCAACGTGGAAGACATAGTACTTTCAGAATTTATTTCGCGATTGAATCTGAGCTAATTTTACTTTAAAAGAAAATAGAATTTCGATTGAGATTTGTAATAAGATATTTTAAATGAACCTAACAATTTTTTAATTTTTTAATAATAACATATATAAAGTTAAAAATAAAATGATGTTCTAATCCTAAAGGTTTTGAATCAAGATACAGAAAATTATAAGTCAACACACGACGAGAAACAAATTCGTATCAAAGTGTTCAATATATTCTATGTTTTCTAATGCTCTAAGCCGAGTTCATTGCTCCATTAAAGATATCGTAGAATCACGAGTGTATTTAAAGCAGATGTTCAACGACCATTCATTACAACACATGCTTCAGTAATACACATGGAAGTCACGTAAAGTGTGTTACCAATACTCTAAAAATTTTAGGTACCAATCCCTATGTATTTCCACGAAGAATTAAGCCATGAAACCCATAAATGAACCACTGTTTCGCGAATTTCAACAAAATCTAATTTTAATAATCTTAGGTCTCAAGATAATACCAGTTCATGTGTCGACAAATAATTTTTTGTATCTTGTAATTTTTCGATTCACAAACTTGTCTATTCAAATAATCGCGTATAAAATATTCTATTATTAAATTGTTCGATCGGAGTCTCGACCCTACAACGAAACTACACAAACATACTCAGTTTAAGGCGACTGGTATATCACCAGTGCACCTTTAAACCGTTTCACAGACGGAGCGAACGTGGCCTGCACCCCTAACCGGAGCTCTATGTTTGTCCAACCGAGATTCCGTCATCGTCATTTTATTTACACGAAAGCAGTAAATTCGGAGGTCTGTTCCGAGCACGAGATGCTCGTGGATTCGGTCACCGCGCGTAAACACGGCCCGAGCAAACAATTACGTCGTCAAACGACCGCGAGGGAAGAAGATAAAAATTCTTCGACTTACCTTCGCAGGATCGGACTTCTCTTGCTCGTCGTTGAAGGTCTGCGACCCCCTGGACATGGTGTTCCTGCGTGGTGTGGTGGTGCCATCTTGCGAGGGGCGCACGAACTCGATTCTGCCACCCTCGACGACGATGTTAGGGGCTGGTGGGAAATTCTCTGCGTTACCAACGGGATCGCAGTAGCCCAGCAGCCCTGCCTTCTCGCCGTATAGGGGATGAATTTGTCTGCAACAGTCGGTAAAGACGACCGTGTTATCGGGGGTTGAAATTGCAGGTGGAGACTGGATCGAGAACCTCTTGGAGGAGCTCCATGAGGTCTCCTCGAGCCTCGAATTGGACAAAATCGATTTTTATAAGAAATTTTTATAGTGCAATACTTTATGTACTTGGTAGAATACGTTGATATTTCGCGGTATTTAAATCTGGATGGAATTTGTCTTCTTGTGTGTATTAAGTTGCTTCAAAATAAATTTTTAATTTAATTAAATATCAAATTATTTTATGTTAAATTGGTTTAATATTATATTAGTTTCGAATTGCAAGAAATCGATTTTTATAAGTAATTTTTATAGTGCAATGCTTTATGTATGTAGTTGATAAAATATAATGATATTTCGCGGTATTTAAATCTGGATCGAATTTGTCTCCTTGTGTGTATTTGGTTGCTTCGAAATAAATTTTGAATTTAATTAAATATCAAATTATTTTCCGGTATGTTGGTTAATATTGTATTATAATTTTATATCGTACCGAGTATCGAATTATATAATAATTGAGAAGTATGCGGAATAGTTAGAATACTTACGATGGAAAGAGCACAATCAAGAAGTTTAATTGAACCGATTTTACTTTCGAACGCGATATTACACGACCGAACCGTTCGCGATAATAGACCGTGTACTGAACCGAACCGTTCGCGATAATGGAGCGTACTGAGAGCTTCTTAGGGTGGGGCGGTTATATTGACCGCGGAAAATCAAAACATGACGTCACGGATCGGCCTAATCCGTAGCGTAAACAGACGAGGCATCTGCTCAACTTTCAATGTTTTTATGTATGTACTCGGTGTCGAAATTGATCTTGTACATTCCATCGTTTATAACTGTCGTTTAAGTAAAACTATTTACGTATCATTTTGGAACGTTAAACTCTCAAACTTCTGAGTTCTCAATCTGATTTTATATAGAGTACAATATGATGCAGATTACGATGAATATTAATACACTTATAGTGTATATAAATGTTGTATTCCTGAGCAGAAATAGTATTTGCTGTGGTTATAAACAATGGTATGAGTACTGGATATTTTTGAACAAGACTTGAGAAAAAGAAAAAGAAGCCGTCACGATTGATTGGATTGAAACATCTAATTTTAAGAGTCTAATTTGTCGATTTCAAACTTTGTATCTGTAACCTTTTAATAAACGAATAGATGAATGAATGAACGAATGAATGAATGAGTACTGTCGAAAGAAAACTTTAATATTATTCGTTCAATAATTCATTCACCAAAATTTATATACTTCAATAAAAACATTAATTTCAATTTCTGTAAGATAGTCGAACCGTCCATAGCACAAATCGATTAACTCCACAAAACAAAAAGTTGAGAAATGCGATGAAATAGTGTACATTGATTTTTAAAATTCCCTTTATAATATAAAAAATAAAAATAATAAATGATGCTAATCTTTATTACTCAGGAAAGTTATTATAAATATTAAGAGTTATAACTACACCAAGTGCTTCGACACTTAAATTCAAGATTTTTTAAAAAGTAATGGATTTGTGCAGTGAATGGCTCCAAGTACGTCCCGAACGAATAATTAAAAAAATCGTCAGCATATTTCATTAAGACAAAGAAACGGAGGTGCTGAAATCGCGGTTCGTTTCGCAACCGTGCAGTTTTTGTGTCCGTGGCGGAATTTTTTTGCCAACTGCACTCCAGACAATGTGAAACGCATGAGAGAGCGAAAGATAAAGGAAAACGCGTGTAGACTCGAGTGGTTTTACCCAGGGAACCCGATTGGGGGTGGATCTCGACAGGTGGTGAGTCTGAGTTCACGGGGGTTCGTCGTCGACTGAGGGGGGGCTCGAAATACACCGCGTGTCGGCGAGGAAATAAAATAGACGTTTCAGTGTGCACGGCGAATGGTTATTGTGTTGCCAGGCTTATCGAACGTCAAGACTCCATTCAGGGGTGAATCTCGTCAGGTAGGGTGAAACGTACGAGCAGGGGTAAAAATAGAAGTTTCTGAGCGTGGCGCGGGAAGTACGGTTTATTAACACTTCGAACATGAATAGGGAGACATTATTCCAGAGAAGAATGGCTCCTCGTCGCGAATGATCAAATAATTCAATTAGCACGGTGCAGTTCTTCATGGTGTATCGATTTTATACACCTGAACTTATGATAATATTTCCATGACACCAGTACCTCGTGTGGTATTGATCATGGTGAGGATAATGGAAGAAATATGAGGGTGTTGCATATCATGTTTTAATTTCAATTTTCATGTTGTATTTGTTGGAACATGTATGAAATTGAAAATTCTGTATTACAAACCGTGGTTTATTTTTGAAGAAGCAGGAATAATAAATTTTTATAAATGTCCAATGTGGAATCAAGTCTAAACTTTATGAGATAATTAATAAATACCCATATTATTCAATGTGATTAAATATATTGGCAAATGAAATAATAGTACCAGAAGATATTTAAAAATAATAGTAATCTAGGCTATAGATTTTATGCATTCTTGGTGTATACAAACAGGAAAAACATATATACTTATGTAAAATTATGTAAACACGTTGATCGCCACGTTATTCATATACGAGTGACAGTGCAGAAGTAAGAAAATTAATTTTAAAAGTTTAGCATAAGAAAAATGAATTTAAATTAAATTAATTCATGAATTTTTACGAAGTTACAAAAATAAATACCACGATAGATGTTTGATTATGTGGTTTCCAATAGCGTAAATAATATTTAATCCTAGCAGAAATTTGCAAGAATATTTGTCTGGCAATCAACGTGTATCTATGACATCAATGTATAAAATATTTATGTATATGTACATCAAAAATGCATGAAATCTTTAATTCAGTAGTGAAAACCTCGACCCTGGATACTCTCCTCAACTACATTTCACAATGCCCGTCACGATTAAATTTCATCAAAGGAACAATGAAACCCAGAAATCACCTCCAACACTAGCTTAATATTCTTTCGAAGCACGAAATCCACGATGTATTTGGTTACGTTCTGTTTCAATCGGTACCATCGAAATGCTACCCCCAAACCTGGATATAGGTCGAAGCCCTTCAAAAGATGAAAAGCCTCGGCAGTGAGGAGCGAGTCCTTCGATACCTACCCACCAAGTTTTCCAATTAACCAGAGTTTATTACACGCGAAATTAAGGTCGAGGTTTTCTCCCATTCGGGCGTAAAGGTGAGAAAGGGTTAGACGCACGAAGAGGCTTACCTGGGCGATGGTATGGGGCGAGGCTTATCAAGCGCCAGATCCGAGTTGAGGGGCGAATCGGGTCCGCGGACGCTGGAAGCCCTACGCAAACAGATATATCGTTAGTTCAATTACCATTCGGAAGCCTACCTCAGGCTATTTTACGTCTGCCTAATGTGTCTCCTCGAGAAACAGTATCATTTGACCATGATTCTCCATTCTCAAGAAAATATAACGTTAAGAAAATCTAATTTTATATAAAATGAGACGTCAACCCTCTATGGGCCCGTATAATTTTCAGGTCACATGCTTATACGTCGACATTTTACCAAATGATTTTACTTTTTCCATAACATACGTTTTAATTGTATATTTTTAACCGATATTTTTCTTTGAATCCACACCTCTACGCTTCTTAGAATTTCTAGCAAAAACGTTCCTAAATTAATATCTCCAAAATAATTCCCTTCGTTCAAATCAATCCATGATTGAGAAATCGATAGACGTTGCGCAACACGTGTAAATCGAGGCATGCACCGAGATGAACGAACCGCGTACACGTCATTTAGCTTGGACTTACAATGTTAGGTCTGTGGTTAAGACCATTAGATGTTCCTAGATAATCACACAACTAAGTACGAACCGCACCTTGGTTAACTTAATTCTGGTGTTCACATAAGAGGCAGCACTTTCTACATAGTAGAGATGTTACTTATCCCCAGCGCCCGTTTAATGCACTATTCTCCACCAAACGACGACACGCTGCACAGAAATGGACGAACTGTGTACACGTCGTTTAGGGCCTGGGATGCTAGATCGTCGTTAGGAACATTAGAAGGTCCTAGATAATCAACCAGTTAAGTGTCAACCACGCCTTATGTAACTTCGTTTTGCCGTTGGGATGAGAGGCAACATTTTTTATTTGGTAGAAAGTACGTGGTAGTACTATCTCCCGTATGACTGGAAATGACGTTCCATTTCAAGCAAAGATAATTATAACGGAAAACAAATTTATATTTGTCAATTTAGGTTCAGTAGACAACATACTTGAAGTGTCTCGTATACCTCAAACTATGTAATAAATATATTAAATATGTACGTATATACATATTGAACATGGTACAAGGGCTGGTTCAATGTCATTTTTCTGTTAATAATAATAATAATAATAATAAAAAAAAAAAAAAAAATACTAAGTGCAAACTCTTTACCACAATTATTTCAATACTCACAACTGAACATCATTGCTCCCCGACTATAATCTATTTCAATTACTAATCAATTTATTAAACAAGAAGTACATTTTCCAAACGACAAGCAACATTTGATAAACGACGGTATTCGTCCATTCACCGGGAAAATATAAAAACAAGTCGATTTAAATAACGAACACTCCGAAACGTACAGTTATTGAGTAACATTTAAAAGTGCCAGTTATATTGGCCGCATCAGTATTTCAAAAAAAAAAAGAAACATTGGAGCAGCGATATAAATTCAAAGTGGTTTCAAGTTATCGAATCGCCGCTCAGAGTACACACTACAATTACGCTGCTAAAATAAAATCTCTTCGACCGGTTGTAAATTGTACGGTGCACGGTTCAAATTATTGGAAAATGAATATACGTCACGGGAGGCTGTTAACCCTTTCCTTGGCGCGTAATATACCGACGTTACTTTACAGTTTCTCGCGCGCGAGTCGCGGCAAAGCATCGTTGGTATCGTTCCCTGAATTACTTTTATCGCGACGCCATGCATGATTCGTTATACTTACGCAAGGCACCGGAACGTTATGCACAGCTTCCACGGGCGAAGACCATCGGCGATAGGAGCATGCCGTTTTTATGGCATCGGTAAAAGATAGGCAAAATTTTCTTGGGCTGGTAGGTAACAAACGCGAGAAACGTACGGCAATTTATTGCCGATGTTTATTTAATTTGGCAGTTGAACTTTTTGTTGTTCGTTAAGAAATACTTGGTTCTTTACTTGACGTATTTATTGCACGGTTGTGTAAGATGCACGTGAGAAATATATTGACACATTGGTGAAAGAAGCGAGGTTTTCAATCTAATCTTAATTCTGTTCGTTTCTAAAAATTTAATCTTGAGGTGCATAAAATAATCCTTATATTAAATGTGTATTTACACTATCAATATATTTAACATATTACATAGCAAATTGATGAAAATTGAATGACATATTAAACGTGTCAATAAAAATATATTCAATCCATATACTCGTTAAAATATATTCTCCATATCCAAGAAGGCTGGCTCCAAAAAGGACAAATTTAATTTCTCCAGTGTCGTCAATTGTCGCTGCACGTGGAAACTCAGTTTAACTATATTCAACCAGTAAATAACGGAGAAACGGCATAACGTCGATGTTAATGCAAAATTCATTTGCGCAGGCCACACCTCGTGCGAATCTATTTTCGCTGCTCGAATCGGGTCTTGTCGCTCGCATATCGGAAAGACCACGACGTCGTGGATAACCGTAAACGATTACGCAATTGCGTTTCAGTTCGCATTTCTCCCGTATTACGACGCGATATTTATATTTCATCCGTATGACGACTCGATATCGAGAGCGTGCTTTCACGCGAGTGGACCGTAATTCAGCTTCTGGCGCTCGCGCGAGTTATAGAAATTAATAAGTCCGCCGAATAAACGCGACAGATTCCGACACGCTTCACGTAGGATTAACGTTTCGAGCCAATTTCTCGTTGCATCGACCCACGAAGCGACTGCAAGATCGTGTCGATAAATATCGGGTAAAATCTAAAGCTGAGCGTTACTGTCCAAGTTTTATTATCAGAAGTGAGACGTAATCATATTTTCTTTCTCTTATATTAATTGCAAATAGGTTTGAGTATAAAACAATTTGGAAACGAAGAATCAATTCAAAAAATTTGCAAAGAATATTCACTCGACGATGCTTCGAATAATTTGTTCTACTTTACAGATATTTTAAAATACGAAAATTCAGCCCGAAGGTGTTTGCACTTGGCGCGGACAGATGATAGTTTCGCAGCCAGCGTATTTCGATACGTATCAAATTCGCATACAACGTAAATAAACTAGCGGATAGCGGAAAATTGAACCGATAACCTGCACTCATCTACACCTATCAATTTCCATCGATATTATAACCATAACTTTTTGAAATTGCAAGCACGCGTAGTCAAAACAAAAATTTCTGGATTTCCGCTATTGCGGATTTCACGCATTTAGAGTACAAGAAAATACGACAAATATATTCTGAATACATCATGTACAGTTTGTGTATGTTTTCCATGTTAGGAAATGTTAAGAATTTTTCCAAAATCTATTAATGATTAGGTAGTTTTATTTTATTTAATTTAGGCTAACATTAACCTCTGCGTACTATTGGTATATAAGTAGACAACCAACAACACAGTTAATAAATTAAAACAAGTAACATTAGATTTAAAAAGTTTGTAAGTAACCTGTCGATACATAAAGCGTTAAAATATGCGCTATCTTCCAACTACGAAGAAGCTTCTTTTTCCAGACGCATAGTTCCGCGAAATCGCGCAGTTCGCGAGAATGATCGCGCGCCATCGATTCGCGGATGAAGCGAGGGATAAAGAATCCCCAGGAAAAAGAGAGGAAGGGGATAGCAGACAGCTCGTCCATCCGTTTACAAGAGCAACTGACAAACCGCCCCGAGCACTTTCATCAGCCGTACCTTTCCAGCTTTTTCAATATCCCAGTTGCGATCAAATGTGACGCGCGGTAAACTCGCTTTAATTAAACCTGAACTTCGAAATGTTATGAACTTACGCATCGCTAAATTTGATCGTTCCCTGTTTACCGTATACACGCGGGTTCCGCGTTCGAAGTCTTCAAAACGTCTGCCAATTCGCGTCATCAACCTGCGAAAGCTTTCAGCGTGCAAGATTAACCGTTGCGGTGCACCTCGATACTCGGACAATCGACCGCCAAACTAATATTGGATGACGAGTTTCCAGTCGAATTAAATGTCGGGGACACGTGAAACCGGCTACTGTAAAGACGAGCCGACTGATTCGTCTGGATTGCCGCGCCGTGCATGCGATGATTCCAATCAAAATTCGAATATCTATCCATGGATGCGTCAAGTTTTCGGTGATTTTGGTTTGAGAATACTAAATGCAAATTGAGAATTGAGCAATTTTTTGAGATATCTCACTTTGTTGGAGTGAAATTTAGATTAATTATCATTCAGTTTTTCAAAAGAACCCTACATCAAGTCGTGGTGAATCTATTCAGAAATAAAAATCTTTTTCAAAGTTAGAATTCATAAATACCACCATGTATGAGAAGACACTATTTAGGCATCATTTAGTTTTTCAAAAGAACCCTACATCCAACCGTGAAGAATCTTTTCAGAAATAAAAATCTTTTTCAAATTTATAATTCACCAATACCACCGTGTATGAGAAGACACTACTTCATCTAACGGCGCCATTTTCACTAAAAAATCGATCTTCGCGAAGAACAAAAATATTTTCATACTCCAAAAAGCATATATGCTTACGTAATACAAGCAAAAAGGTATCGATCACCTAATTTCAGCGCAATTAATTTCCTACCAAACGTCTCGAAGGTGCGGTGACCCTTCGAATCTTTCAATGAATTACGTCAATCCGCGCAGCACGAATTTACGGTTTACTTGGCAGCTGGTGTGTCCAAGAACTGGCGCACGTTTCTTGCGCTTATTCGCGAGGCAGATGGCGGAAAGAGCGACGAAGAAGTCGGAAGGAGGAAGGAAAGAAGCGACCGGCGCCCTTTGTGAACGAGGGTGGAAGCTGTAGGGCGTTTTAACGTGGCGCATTTTATCGCGCGATCCATTCGCTGGTTCGAAGCATTTGCCTTTCCCCACTCGCGACGTTCCTACAAAGAAATCCAGACGTTGAATTCGCATAAAACGTGCATTAGCAGCAAGAATTCGCGTCTAAGGCTGAGCTCTCTATCCAGACCGCCTCGAAAACCCCTTTTGCGACAACAGAGACCTTTGACAGCGTCTTCCGGTACAGGTTTAATAAGCCAACCGCCGGAAAGACCGGATTCGACAAAGTTTGTCAACGTTTCGTCTTTGTA